GGCAAGTTTTATTTTGACCACATATGTACCATGGCATGAGTGTGCACACACACAAATGTAAAAAAAGTTTTTTTTAGGGACTCAGCAGTTAAGACCAATGGCTGCTCTTGCAGAGTACCCAGGTTTAATTCACAGCACCCACATGGCAGCAAACAACTGTAATTCAAGTTCCAGGGAAATCCAATTCCCTCTTCTGACTTCTGTGGGCATTGTAAGACATGGAGGGAGTACACGTACATACAAGCAGGCAGTACACTCAGACGCATAGAATAAAAATAATAAATTTTTAAATCAAGGAAGAGAATTACACTGTTAGGGTTCAGTTAAAGCTCAGTGGTGGAGGAAGTTGTTTGCTGTGCACAAAATTCATTCCTCAACACCTGTCCCCCCCCAAAGAAGAAAAAAAGAAAGAAAAAAATTGAAATATCATCAGATTTCATTATCTTAGAAAATGCTGATTCAAAAAAGATGTGAATACCTACCATACTGTAAGAACACATCAAATGCTAGGAGTCTCCATAGAAGAATCCTTCCTTCCAAAATATTATCTGTTTGTGCTAGGCTTGGTGGCACATGCACTGGGGAAGTAGAGGCAGGTGATCTCTGTGAGGACAGCTTGGTCTGCATAGTTAGTTACAGGTCCCCTAGGGTTACAAGGAGACCTTGTTTCACCAAAAAAAAAAAAAAAAAAAAAAAAAAAAAAAATTACCTCTTGTGAGAAGAAAGGCAAAACAGCCAGGGACACACACACAGCCTGAGCTCCTAGCACTCCAGAGGCTGAGACAGGAAGATTGCACGTCAAAGGTCAGCCTGGGCTACTTAGTGAAATCCTATCTCAAAAAAGAAAGGGCCAGGTGTGATGGCACAAGTCTGTAAGTCCATCCCTTGTAAGGATCTGAAGTTCAGAGTTATGCTTTGCTTCATAATGAGTTCAAGGACAGCTTGGGCTCAAAATAAGAGGTAATGGGGGCTGGAGAGGTGGCTCAGTAGTTAATGCTGGCTGTTCTTGCAGAGGACCTGAGTTTGATTCCCAGCACCCATATCAGGCAGCATACAACCGCCTAAAACTCCAGCTCCAAAGGATTCTAGCACCTTCTGACCTCCATAAGGCAGCCACACACATGGCCTTCAGTCACAAAATAAAAATCTTAAAAAAAAAAAAAAAAAAACAGCTAATAGAGGAAGAGGCAAATTGAGGTGAAATAAAAGTTTTATCTTGTGTAAATTTGGTGTTAACTGCTTTTCCAAACTCAGTCTTTTGTCTCTTTAAGATAGGGTTTTGCTAGCCATGGTGGCGCATGCCTTTAATCCCAGCACTTGGGAGGCAGAGATAGGAGGATCTCTGAGTTCAAGGCCAGCCTACATGTGAGTTCCAGGACAGCTGGGGCTACAGGGAGATCACGTCTAAAAAAGACCGAAAAAAAGAGAAAAAAAAAAGGGGTCTCGCTAGGTGCATGGTGCATGTTTTATCCAATGGTGTAAAGGTAGGAGATAGTTGGGAGTTAACAAGAATCCTGCCTTCACTGGGCCCTGTTGTCAAGGCCTCAAATCCCAGCTACTTGGGATGCTGATACAGGATGATCACAAACTCAGGGCCAGCTTGGGCTACAAGGCAAGTTCAAGGAAAACCTGATCAACCTAGTGAGACTTTTTCTAAAAAAAACAAAAAAACACTAGGGATCTATCTTAGTAGCACAGTTGCCTAGCATACATACATACATAAGACTCTGGGTTCAGTCTCCAGTACTGCAAAATAAATAAATGAATAATAATTTTTTAAATGATCCCATAATAGCCTGGCGTGGTGACACACGCCTTTAATCCCAGCACTTGGGAGACAGAGGCAGGCGGATTTCTGTGAGTTCAAGGCCAGCCTGGTCTACATAGTGAGTTCCAGGACAGCTGGGGCTACAGAGAGACCCTGTCTCAAAAAGACCAAAAAAAAAAAAAAAAAAGATCCCATAATGGAGCACAAGAAAGGATGAGATTTGGGGGCTGGAGAGATGGCGCAGTGGTTAAGAGCACTGACTGGTCTTGCAGAGGACCTGGGTTTGAGTCCCAGGACCCACATGGCGGCTACAAACCGTCCTTAACTCCAGTTCCAGGGGACTCCGAAGCCCTCTTCTAACCTCCGGGCATTGCACGACAGGACATGAGTGCACTCACATACCCGCAGGCAATACGGGGTTTATTACTCAATACACATAAAATAATAAAATAGGGGGTGGAGAGATGGCTCAGCGGTTAACAGCACTGACTGTTCTTGCAGAAGACCCAGGTTCAAATCCCAGCACCCACATGGCAGCTAACAACTGTCCATAACTCCAGTTTCAGGGGATCTGACAGCCTCTTCTGTCCTCCGAGGGCATTGCACGACACAGGTGCACTTACCTACGTGCAGGCAATACATGCATACACATAAAATAAAAATAAAATATTTAAAAATAATATAATTTTTTTAATTGACTGGAAGGGACAAGTAAGAAAAACTCATCTTTAAGAATTTTTTTATTATTTTTACTTTATGTGTATGCATATATGCATATATTGCCTGCATGTAGGTAAGTACACCCATGTCCTGCAGTGCCCGCGAAGGTCAAAAGAGGCTGTCAGATCCCCTGGGATTGGAGTTATAGACAGTTGTTAGCTGCCATGTGGGTGCTGGGATTTCAACCCGGGTCTCCTGCAAGAACAACCAGTGTTCTTAGCCGCTGAGCCATCTCTCCAGCCCCGTTAGTCAACTTTTTTTTTTTTTTTTTTTTTTTTTTTGGCTTTTTGAGACAGGGTCTCCCTGTAGCCCCAGCTGTCCTGGAACTCATTATATAGCCCAGGCTGGCCTCGAACTCACAAAGATCCGCCTGCCTCTGCTTTCCAAGTGCTGGGATTAAAGGCCTGCGGCACCATGCCCAGCCTTAACTTTTAAAATGAGTTGGTGTTAGCCAGGTGTGGGGGCACACAGCTTTAATCCCAGCACTTGGAAAGCAGAGGCAAGTGGATCTTTGTGAGTTGGAAGCCAGACTGGTCTACATAGCGAGTTCCAGGCCAGCTGAGATTACAGGAAGACCCTGTCTCAAAAAGACAAAACAAAACAAACAAAAAAACAAGTTGGCTAAATAAGTGTGTCTGGTGGGGAGCATTATTCAGTGTGCATTCCTCTGCACACAGGATCCTATCATGCTAGGGTGGGGACATGCTTTGTTTCCTGCCCTTCCCAAAGCTGCTTAATTCTAGAGTTTATTACTAGTTGTTCTCAGCCAGAACAAAAGTCATTAGTTCCAAAACATCCCTTGACAGAGAAGTGTCAAGATGGAGCAGCAGGGGCAGGGACATAGAGTATGTATGACAGTGAGGCCATATGCTTAGGCACCATATAATCTAACAGAACCTCTTAGAGTTTGGAGCACAGAACACCTTTAATCCCAGCACTGTGAAACAGAGGCAGGTGGATCTCTGTGATTTTGAGGTCAGCCTGGTCTACATAGTGATTTCCAGGCCAGCCAGGGCTGCATTAGTGAAACCTTTCTCAAAACAAAAAAAATAAAGGAGCGGGGGGGCTGCTGGAGAGATGGCTCAGCCATTAAGAACACTGCCTGCTCTTGCAGAGGACCTGGGTTCAGTTCTCAGTACCTACATGGCAGCTAACAACTCTGTAACTCCAATTCCAGGGGATTTGGCCTCTTCGGGCACGGCAGGCATGTGCCGCACTTACATAC